TATAATACTGTATTTTTGAGTTAAAAATATCAAGTAGTGGTGATATTACCTCAGTTGCAACTGTTGAAAGTTTAAATATATCCAGAACATAAGCTCTGAGAAAACCAAAGAGGAAACATAAAAATATATCAATGTGCTGAATGAAGGAAACAAAGAGAGCAAAACTCTGAGACCACCAGCAATAGAACAGCTGATATTGGGTTACATTCATAATATTAAGTCATCACAAAACATTTACAGTTACCTGTCCAGCTGATACTCTGTTCCTCGCACAAACTTTAATTTATCCAGGGGGACATTGATAGACTCTAGCATTGCCTGTGTGATAAAACTATGATGTATGATGTCATCTCAAAATTGTATTCATGCCAAAGTTTGATTAAGGCACAGCCAATTATGAGTTGTAATTTTTAAAGAAAAGTTGCATCCAGAGAAACATTTCAACTTAGCCATTGGTCAAAACCAGGTTTCCTTTTCTCCTCATTTGGTATACATTTAACATTCCTAGTTTCTTTTCCCTAAAAACACCTTCTTAGGACTATTCTCACCCTCCGACGAAGGGCTAATGCTTGAAACGTCAGCTTTTATTCTCACCAAGTCAATCAAACTACCTCATCACATGTTTCTCCTTGGTTCAAACCATTAATGAGCACAGAAATAATTCTTAAAAATGTCATTAAAATCCAACCTTAATAACTTCTTCATAATACTTCACTCTGTGGGCTAGCAGATCCCAGGGAGCTTTCAGATTATCCAAATATGCATGAAGGTCAGCCAAAAGGACTGTCACCTATAAAAAATGCAATATTTCCATAATGGTACCAATAGGAGTTGTTCAAGAGCAGTATGGTACATTCTATTCAGTGGAAAATTTATCATAAAAATAATTCCAGCTCAAAATTCCTTTCTTGCTTCTAAGAGGTAAATATATTTGATTAGTTCCAAATACTTTGATGACAAACTATTTTTTTACAACTATTTACTGTATAGCCAAAAATGAAGTGATATTTCTTGACAGCCTCATGAAATAAACTTTGCCCTCCTCTATCTTGAAATTGGCCTCCAATCAAACTGGAATGGATGGGATAATTATCATCAATTCTTGACATCATGTTTGATATGGAACAAACCATGTAAAATGTAATACAAAATCAAAAAGTCATTAGGGTATAAAACATGTCCAGGTATAAACTTCTGACATGTAAACACCCCCTAAAATTAACAAGCATATTCAAGCTTGTGACATACCTCACAGCCTGCCTTCAAGAAGTCAGCTATTTTTGTCATTGGTACAAAGTAAGCAACATGTGGTGTTCCTGTTGTAGCTGTTCCCCAGTACAAAGATAAATTCTTCTCTTGTAATATTGTTTTTAGGCGATCCTCGCCAATTACTTCCTGTAAGAATAATAAAAGATAAAGTGAAGGGAAATATAACAATAGACATAATGATTGTAATCAGATATTCTCAGAGGCAAGTCATCTGATAAATATTTGATGAGTGAAACTCCAGTGAAACTTTGTAAGGTAATAAAATGTTTTGTGAACATTGTAACTCTAGTCAATTCCGTAGATTGGTCGAAAGGTTGAGAGATCTGGTATGTTTATTTCGTTGCATTATAATTTCACTCCATCTTTTCAGAATTCCCGCAAAGGAAGTAAATTTTTGTTTTCTCATAGCCTACTCTGGATAGGTCTCTGTGATGAAGGGGTGGATTCATCGCTTTTTCTTAAATATTTAAACAAGATAATATATCAATATCATTAAAAATGAAACCCTATTTCCCTATATGTTTCGCCACAATGTGACGTCAGAGCCGAAGCAAGTGAACAAATAACGGAATTACCAATAACATCGTTGTACCGAAAAGTAATTGAGGAGAGCTCTTGAAGTTTAATGCGTTGGTGTCCGACTTTGAACGTAAAATTATGTCTGAAACCCTCACCTGTAAATTTCTTGTGATCAAATTCAATTTTTCGTCCGCAGAATACGAATCATTTGATGCCATGCTCGTCGTGGAAAAAAATTTGCGAGAAATACAATTTCTCAACTGATTTACACTAAAAGTTAGCCTTGAGGTAAGCACTCGTGGAAGCATACAAGGAGATCGCTTAAAAAATGATATTTAAGCTGTATTTCCTGCTTCACGTGTGTTTTTAGTGAAATCTGTTCTCACGCAATAGGAAGTGCTTGGGTACCTAGCCTTCGGTATAAACCTTAAAAGTGCTGGGGAGAATCTAGCCTGCGAACGGGCTACCGGCTTGCCTGTTAGCAGGCTGGGGAGAATCGCCCCCTGTAACTCGGAAGGTTGAAAGGATTCTTAAGAAGGGTATGAAGAAATTACATCTCCTTACAACTTCTTGACTACGCTTTGAACAACATTCTAAATAATTTTTTTTATTGTCAACCTTAACTCTCACCTATTTTCAATAAGACAATTGCCTTCGACTCTTCTGCGTATTTTATGACATTTACCAGATGGTTTAGATGGCATTTACCTTTCAATCTTCATTTTTCATAGCCTACACTGATGGATAGTTTTTACAAAAATAAGTTACAGCACTTTTAAAAAATTTGGTTGTGAAAGTCACCATGAAAAAGAATGGTTAATTAAAAAGTTCCAAACCTTCTTCACACGTGTCAAAGTAGTTTTACAACTATTTAGTTAAGAGTTCAATCTGTAGCTCACTCACACTGGTTAAGAAATTCCTCAGTCTCTAAGTTAAAGACAAACTGTATATTCAAACATCATTAAGTTCTATGTACACACCCAAGGTTCAAAGGGTCTTGACCATTTTTTGGTTGAAAAGTATTATATTACCTCACTGTGAAAATCAAACCAATCATGACCTCTTGTGATTTAGATCTGACAAGTCAGTTTTGTACCAATAAAGAATAAACTTTGGCACAAGCAAACCTCAAAGCGACAAACTAATCACTTTTGCTTTCAAAGGTTCAGTTGAAACAATCCATAAATATTTTCAATACTGACAGTCGTTATTAAGTTTCACAGTGATGATGTCAATCTTAGCAAGAGAATGTATTGGAAACTAGACCAAGTACAAATATTTTTAAGAGGAGCTGAAACACAGAATTTAAGATCATTTTGCTTTCTTTATTAATCATAAGCTCTTGAGCTGGGGTTGAAAAAGAAAGTGTAGCAGTTAAAGTGTTCTGTAACCAAAATCAGAGCCAAATAAATACAGTATACACAATTATTTTGTGTTGTCTGAGGGTTTCTGTCATTATAGAAAGAAAATCACTTCTCTCTGAATGGACACCCATATAGGGCAGACACCTGCACACAAGAGACACTCAGAATCAGTCCCTTCCGTTTCACTGTCACAAAAACTTAGCTTGTTTCAACAACAAAATCAAGGGATTTGTTTTGACAGTGTCCACCCCAGAGAGATTTGACTGTTCAATCTATAGCAAGTCAGTCATTGTGTAAATTGCATTACAAAGTACTACTGAACCCAATTACCTAAACGATGTTGGTACAACAAAATCTTTTACATTGTTAGCAAAAAACCACCTCCATGGCAATAGGCCAAAAGTATCAGTATGTGGGATATGACTGCTGTTGTGGATAATTATAACCATACTGATTGTACCCTTGCTGCTGTGAATATGGTTGGGTGCTGATATACCCTTGAGTACTTCCATAAGCATTCTGTGTGGCAGGCTGCTGTTGCTGTTGCTGTTGCTGCTGCTGCTGCTGCTGAGGTACATAACCCTGATAACTCTGTGTCTGTGTCTGTCCTGTAGCTGAATAGGGTGCTGCCCCTGCAGGTGAGTAAGTCTGACTTTGTGGAGGGTAACTTTGTTGACTTGGTTGACTATACTGCTGCTGCTGCTGTGGTTGGCTAGCTGGATACCCTGATGCAGAACTTGTCATACCTGGGTAAGAAGACTGTGTCTGGGTGGAGGTGGGAGCATAAGACTGTGGAGCATTTTGTCCAGGTTGGCTAGCCTGCTGAGGATACTGAGTTTGCTGGGCGTACGACCCTGCCACTTTGTTTGCAGGTGATGGTGTAATGTTCTGCTGCCCCGGAAGCTGCATCTGCTGTGATGCTGGGACTGACTGTGGATGATACCCTTGTGAAGTTGGCTCTTGGTTCTTGGAAGCTACAAACCAAAAGACATTAAACATGATTGAGTGCAACTGTATAATTCATCTACCTAGAAAAACACCAAAACACTTAAACAGCAAAACAGCTATTTTATTCATCTGCCCTTCTAAAACCAAAATTCACATCTATTTTCTTCATTTATTTTTGTGTTTCACCCCTTTAACCCCTTGGAGTGACTAGCATCTACTTTCTTCTTACAATAGCACTCCTGAATCAAACATCAAGGTCATGAGAATAATGAAAATGATCACTAACAAAAGAAGCTCTTGATTGTTAAACAAATTCTCCTTGTCAGCACCTTAGGAAATGTATAGAGAACAGTATGGAGAACATGCTTCCTGATGTTAGGGCATAAAGGGTTAATTTGTGAATATCATTTCCTCCTTATTGACCTTGTGCTGTAAGAGGTGACATCAGTAAAAATTAATGCCAACTGTGATCAGAGTGTGATAGATGCAGTGACCTGGAAATTACAGCCCTAGCCTCATAATGGAAAGGTTCAGAGTTGATCCCTGTTTAGGGCCATAGGGTTGTTTTCTTAGAAAACCTTTCCCAGCACAATGCCTCTTCCATCTCTCTCCTCCAGAGTGCAAACATTTTCTATTCAATTGTTCAGGAAACCCAGTGAACCTCTGTGTAGGGATGGGGGGGGAGGGGATATTCTGCAATGGATTAACATCCCATCCTAGGGAGGGTCAGCAATGCTTGTAGTCCTTAACACCAATGACCCTTACTTTATTTAAATTCACGCAAAAATGGTGTAATGTCACCAAATTTAAGCCAAATGCAGGCAACTTGAACCAAGGATAATAATGAACATAACACACACATCTTTATCAAATTGGACTTTTTATTTGGTAGTTTAAACTTTTTTAATAAAATTAATAGTTTAAACTGCAGTTGTAGCTATGGTCTTTCACCTACCTAGTCCTTCAGTAGTGCCTGCAGTGCTGGGGTACAGTTGTCCTGAGATGTTTGCTGTTGAACTGTCTGGTTGCGGCTTTTCCTTAGCAAGAGGATCAAACATGGTTACCTCAGGGGTCGGTTTAGGAGGCACTTGAGCAGGAAGTGTTCTTTCATTAGGGAGACCTAAACAGAAACAAAACATAAAACTACTAGACCATTTTCCTGATACAATTCAGTTAGAATGTTTTATCCATCACAACTAAAACAAAAGAGAAAAAAATGTACATAAATTGAAACCCTGTAGAGAGAAAGGGAAGAACCAATAACCCAACATCATAATTCTTTTTTCTAGCTCAAATCTCCTAGGTGCAAAAAAATCAATGATCCTCTTTAACCCTTTTACATTCTAGCATCAGTAGACAATTTCTCCATACTGCCCTCTGTAAATTTCCTATGTTGCTGAAGACAAGAATTGCTTAACAATCAAGCTGGTGATCACTTCCTTTATTCTTGTGACCTTAGTGTGTGATTCAGGGGTGATATTGTGCGGAGAAATTAGATGCTAGTCACTCTTGGGAGTCAAAGATTAACTTATAATCCCTTTTAAGATCATTGTAATATGGCTGTCAGTGATATTTTTCAGCATTGAAAGCATAGTGAGCATGGTACAAAATATCTTATCCAAAATTTTCTTCACTAGTACATATACAAGATTAATTGTAACAACTACTACCATGATTACCAAAAAACTTGTTTAGATAAAATTAATCAACAGAAAAGTGATTGGCATGCAAATCTGCTTCTTTGTACATGAAATTTGTTACAGCAGACTTGCATTACAAACCTTGCATACTTGGTTTATCATTTGGCTGTTCTTGTCCCCCTTGATGATCCTCATTATCATCCTTAATTTCCAGTCTATTGAGAAGATAATTAATCCTATCTCTTATCTCCCTTAATTCTCGTCTAAACTCAGCAACTAGTGTGTGCTCAGGTGGTCTGGGTACTCCATTCACTGTTAAGAAAATTGTTCATTGAATGATCATGATTTAATATTGGAGACGATTCCAACACTATCAGAAAACAAAAAAACCTCTGAACTAGAATGAAACTTTTAAATTTTTCCAGAGCTACTAAGGAACTGCTGGAATTTGAAAACTCTCAGACTGCCATCTACTTTGACAACAGTTATCACAATTTTTTTCTTAATTCAAATGCATGGAAACCTAGCTCGCATATTCCATAATCTTCCTTACATAAGTCTTTCGTTCATTTAAAAAACCTTATGTAACACAACTTGCACTAGAACTAGTTATCCATAGGTAAAATGTTAAGACATATGTCAACGTATTACACTTCACAAATGAAACAGTCTTTAGATGACATATTGGCATCGTTAAGAACACACACACAAAAAGGTTTCACGTGTACCAAGTATCATTTAAGAAACTTACCAAACAATGTAATCTTTAATATTCTGCATATTGTTCGTGCAAATGCAAGATCAGAACTGTCGAAAATAGTCACTAGATCGCCATCTGAAACAAGTAAGAAAAAACTATTAAATACAGCTTGGAGTGTCATGCCAAAAGGCATATTTTTCAACAATCAGCCAGGATGTATTAAATACAAGTTTTCGTCAAATCTGAAAGCAAAAGGACCAATCGACTAAACTCACCTTCATCCTTATATTTGATTGTAATATCATCCGTGCTACTGAGTTTACCACGATAAACTCTTTGCATCATCAACAGTAGATCATCGTAAGTCAAGTCTTCGTTGTGAATTGGAATGCATCGTATATCATCCCCTAGACGAGCCTTAATAATCAGTGTTCCACTAAGATCTACATTACCGCCTACAAAATTTACTCCTCTGTTTCCAGGAACTCCTATTGAGAATGTCTCTGGTGTATAATTCATCTCTAAATGGATGAAAAATCGTGACAATCTCTATTTCCCTTTGCTAATCCTTATGACAAAAATTACGTTGCTCTTCCAGAACAAGAATGACTTCATTCGTTTCTAGTCTCCCGAAGAGTAATTTTTTGCTTGTGCGCAGTACTTCTCTTCCCTGTCAACAAAGAACGCCTTGTAATATTCTTTCCGAGCATTAACCATGTGTACACGAATCTTGTCACAAAACAGTTCCTATCGTCGTGTTCTATGTACTTTTCATAAAAGATATTACAAGAAGAAGTCATGGAAGGTAAGATGTATGTAGTTTCAATCATGATTGAAAACATTGCCTTGGGAGACTGGTTATTATTGATCTTGTTCACATATTTGGGGCCTCGATACGCGATCTAGGTGTAAATTTATGGCCTTTTTCAAGAGGTAAAATACTGCTCATGCAAATATTTTCACAGACTCAAGAGAGGCTCTAAACATATAAATGTGTTTTGAAAAACCGTCAGGCCCCAAGACGATCAAAGCTCTCCAAGCCAAGGCTAGTAACCCCTCCCCAGCGCTGATTGTTAATTGGTAAATTTTCTTCGAGCTTTTAGCCTTAATTACCATCTACTGTTCGGAAAATGAGCCTGAACTAACCCCACCTCCCCCCAAACCTCTACTTCCACCCCCTGCAAAGCCACAGCTAAGAAAACGGTTGAAATGGAGCCCATCAGGCTGTGACCTCTAAATATTTTTCAAAAAATCACTTCTTTTAGTGTCTGATCATTTGTTATTAGCTGCAAAGGAAAAAAGCTTCTTCTCTGGAGAATTTTCAAACTTTTTATGCTGATCAGTTTGGGGAGGAGTGGCCTATGATTTTTGAGTCACTCAAGTTTCCAACCCAGCACTGTGCAGTAGTCAACAAGTTTTCTGTGCATGAGGAAGTACAGGAAAAACTATCTTGTGTAGCAGCACAGCACCAAAGTGTAGGACCTTTCATGAGCACCATTGGTGGAGATGAACAAAGTCAACCTCAGCTGTCCTGTTACTTTCCGAATTCTGAGGAAAGTGTTAGATTTCCTAAGCAGGAAAAGACAAGCAATGGATTTTTTGATTACTATCTTCTAGATGCTTCCTCTCTCCTACCTGTTTTAGCTCTTGACATTTGCCCTGACAATACAGTGCTTGATATGTGTGCTGCTCCAGGAGGTAAAAGTGTTCTGATATCACAGTTCCTTTTGATAAGAGGCTGTCTCGTTGCCAGTGAAGTTGCAAACCAGAGAAGGGCAAATCTTATTAAGGTAGGGGTAACTATCCTGTGAGGTAATATTGGTGATTCATTTAGCGAGCATTCTTTTCAAATGTGCCAAAAACAAACAAATTTGGAGTGTAGCCTATCATTTACAGTCATTTTTTGTCAAGATAGATCACTATCAGTTGTTTTCTCATTTGAAAGACTGTTTAAACAACTTTAACAAAAAATTCTTTTTTAAAAAAAAATATATATATATATATTTACATATATTGGGAGATTAAGGGGAGGGTTCTTGGGGTATGGACCCTCCCCCCCTCCATATCAGAGCCAAGTGTTTTATCACTTCTTTTCTGACACCAAAATTCTAGCAACCACTGGAAAGATGTCACTACTCAATATGAGGTATTTAAATTTATTCAATTTGAACTATTTCTTAGCTTCCTTAGGCTGTAGTGTAAAAAAAATTGATTTCTAAATAAATGATATTAATCCCCCACCCTCAAAAATTCCAAGATTCCCTCAAAAAAGAATTATCCATATCTAATTTCTCCTTACAATATCACCCCTGAATCTAAGATTAAGGTCATAAAGGAAACGGATACTAAGACATAAGAAGCTCCTGATTGTTAAAAGAAATTCCCCTTGTCTTCGCCTTAGGGAATTCATAAAGAACAGTATGGAGAATATACATACTGATGTTAGGCTGTAAAGGGTTAATTTTCTCTGATCTACTTTGTTAGGTAGTTAAAGACTACATCCCAAAGATCTCCAAAACTAAAGACTTGGTGCACGTGCGGAGCTTGACAGGTTTGAAGTATGGCGAGTACGAACCAAACGCGTATGACAGGGTTCTTCTTGATGTGCCGTGTTCTTCTGAGCGACACAACTTGCACACAAACTTTGAGTTTAGTTTTTGGTCAGAAAAACACTCTACAGAAAACGCTAACATGCAAGGGAAACTTCTTATGTCCGCGTTACAAACAGTTGTTCCTGGTGGTTTTGTGATTTATTCTACTTGCTCCATGTCGCCGATAGAAAATGACGGAGTCATAGACGAGGTTTTATCAAAATGTACTGTGAAAAAGCAGCTCAAAGTTGAAGTTGTAGCCTCACAGTTTGAAAATAATTCGCTGGCGAAAATGTTTGATTATAGAATGACCAAACACGGGGTACTCGTCGTCCCTTCCAAGACTAAGAATTGGGGTCCGATGTATTTTTGTAAACTTCAACGACTGACTATTTAATCGAAGAAAATCTAACCCAGATCTGAACTCGGATACTTTCGCTTTCACTGGGTCCAAATACGTGATGCTAGAGAACGTGTACGCGATCATTCTAAATACAAAAAAGATATGATTGAGCATATTAAACGCAATGATTTGACGAATTAGGATCTTTAACCCCTATGGAAAGGTTTAAGGTGTATATTTTTTGCATAAATAGCCACAAATAGGGTAAATAGTCAAGTTCATCACTTCTTCCCGGCTTGAGGTAAATTATTCCATTATTTTCGTGCAAGTTATCTGTTAGAATTCACCGGCCTGCATAGAAATCTTTTGTCCAGGCCCCGATCAAATCCCGCGAAGCAACAGTTAAAGATTTGTTGACGCAATTCGTCGCGTGTTATACTGCTTCTTGCACGCTTTTTAACCGTAAGTTTTCATATCCTTTCGTTTTAAAATACAGTTTCCTCGTGAGTTTGTTGAAAAAATCCAAAATTGCCTACATCGCGTGTTTTTACTTTGTAATGATGGCGTATTTTTCATTGATTAATGTGCGCACTTTGGTTGACACTGTTTTGGAAACCGCAAAGCCCTTTAACAAATCAATTAACAGAAAATCGTCACTAACTGCTCGTTAATATATTAAAAATATTTGATACTAGCACTTTTTTTCCCCGATAGACTTGGAAATCTGATCGCACTCTGACATAGATGCAGTAACTTCCTTAGAGCAAGGAGAGGTTTCCAAACAATTTCTGGATTTAAGGCCGCGCAAAAAGCTACCGCTGACCGTGATAGAGATATTTGAAGATCACATGTACGTCTCCTTATCGAGTACGGGAACTAAGCCTTTTGTCTAACATTGTGAATTGTTGACACTACCAAGAACACAAGACAAGTAAAATTTAAAACAATTCAACGGCTCCGTCCTTAAGTAACCCACATAATGCACCCGATACTGACTCCACAAAAAAAAATTCCGAATTTTTAGGCGTACCCGTTCCCAATGTATAGTTCCAGATGTGTTTCTATTCCAGCCACATTAACCATCTAACCCTCAACGTGACCATCTCATGGTTAATGACGGTTTTGCCATTTTGGCCACCAATGGCAATTTGCTTCTTTAGTCACTAGTTTAGTTACTAGTGGCAGTTTTGAAATTTCGGACACTAGCAACCATTCTGTTATTTTGGCCATTAGACGCCGTTTTACAATTTTCGCCACTTGTGGCCGTTTTCCCTTTTGGCAACTAGTGGTCGTTTTTAAACTTTAGCCAATACTAGCCGTTTCTTCATTTTGGCTACGAATGCCTATTTCGCCATTTTGACCACTAGTGGCTCTTTTTCCATTTTGTCCACTAGTCGCCGTTTTGCCATTTTGTTCCACTACTGGCCGTTTTGCCATTTTGTCCGCTAGTGGCTTTTTTACCGTTTTGTCCACTAGTGACCGTTTTGCCATTTTGTCCACTAGTGGCCATTTTGCCATTTTGTCCACTAGTGGCGCTTTTGCCATTTTGTACAATAGTGGCCGTTTTGCCATTTTGTCCACTAGTGGCC